AAAATTGCAAATTTGGCATTGAAGTGTTTGCATACCTAATATATCCAAGATAAAAAAGTGCTTGGCATGATCCCAACGGTATGCCGACGTACTCGGCGACTTCTCTGATCGTGAGTGATTCGACGATTTTCGTTAACAGTTTTTTCATTGCTTTAATGTTTTCATTCATTTCTTATGTGCTAGGGTGACCGGGGCGGACATAGTCATTAGCGTCTACTCGCTCTTCTGAGATCAGCTTCCATTATCATTAATAAACAATTTTTTTTTTTTTTTTAGCTCAAAGTAGACTCGTCGTCAAATGCCACACTGTCAACGTTTTAGGTGAGTTGGAGCACTTAATTTCATTTTTCATTCTAAATTTTATACCGGTTTTTTGATCCATTTTGTTTTCGTAGCAAAAAATCACTAAGCACACACACCTTGAACACACTTTGTATATCGGACTTTTCCTTATCGTAACGCAATAAAAATTAGTAAAATACTTATGAAAATTACAAAGATATCTTTGTATAAAGACCTAAATCTTGCATGATTTTCATAAAAAAAAATAATATATATATATATATTGGTAGCAATTACTAGACAATAAGCACACATAATATTGCTGAACACTTTTACAGCATGAACTGAATACTAAAGGGTGTTAGGCTAAACAGTGTATTCTCCAGTCGTCATAGTAGGATTTCTCTAGTTATCCAATGAACGCAACATATATTAACTGTTATAGTAACAATAATTTCACCAAGCCATTTAGGGGATTTCTGGTATAGTTAATAGTGGTCCGGCAGAATTATATGTAGGGAAGTAAGACTTTGTAAGAATGAAAAAAGCTTTTATTTGAACAGAGCTCCGTCTTTAGCAATTACCAAAATATAAGGTTACATACATACGCTACAAAAATATGTATATATCAAGGAATCAAATTGGTATCAGTCATGTATATATCTATGCAATCATTTCAGGAAAATGTCTAAAAACTGAAGATAGGTTGAAGAGATATGTTCAAGCTTTTCTTTTGAACACGCCCTGTAGATATTGAAAAATATATTTTCAACAAAAGGTGTATATTACGCCAGCAGTAAAGTGGACATCTGTATTGAATTTTAAGATCAACAAATTTTCGAAATTTCATAAACAAATTTGTTTATTCATATATATTAAGTAAAACTTTCACAACAATTTTACAAGTACGAAGTTATCCATGATATTCGTCCTTAGAGCGAAGATATTTATTTGTTAAAGTAATCGGTTTAGTCTAACTTTGTTTTTCGAATTTTCAAGATATCAAAAATTATCGCACAAAGTGAAAAATATAATTAAATTACTCTCAGCTTAAATCGTATAAGATTGATTCACAATCACCTTCGAGGTTAATAAAAAGTTGCGCGTCTAACTGTTGCTACGTTCAGTTTGCGATTTAGAGAAGACATTGATCTAAAATTTGGTCTAAATGCATATCTCGGTCGCCTAAAAAGATATTATGCATACAATAATGAAGTGAAAATTTTGAGAATTCTTTTTATAACTGATCAAATTTGAATCATTTTAAATCGCACTGTAAATTTTTTTTGGAATCTATACCGTCAGATAGTTAAACACACAAAGAGTTTAGTTGGTTGACTTTTTCACTTAATATTCCAAAAAAAATCCCATTATAATGATGAGTAATACTCATCTTATGCATTTTAATGGAAACCAACTGCTTACACGCGGCAATTCTTAAGTAAAGACACATATGTTTTGATAATGTTTTTTCGGGGTCTAATTAAAAGTTAGAAGTAGGAAAGTAAAAATTGCCAAGGATTATATATAAGAAATATCTATCACAACGCCAGACTCACTCATAAAAGTGGTTAAGGAAAACCTATTGTTGAAAACGATTAAAACGTTCAAATATTTAAAAGAGAAAAAAAGAAAAATAAAACCAAGATAACGTAGAACCTATAAACTGTAGTTAACCGTATCAAATCTAAATAAGATATAATGAGAATTATGCCTAAACCACGGCTAAGTAAACCACGCATCAGTAAAGTTTGTTTCCGAAGTTTTCACTGTTTTTGTTGCTTCTCACAACTATTGCGAGCTCTAGTACTCTGCCTGCAGCAACTAAAAGCGGACTTTGGTCTCAAAGTTCCTTGAGATTTTCGATTGCCGTTTCAGTTCGGTAAACCGTCGGTAAGCTTGTCCATTAGCATACTCATAACGTCACCAAGAGTTACCAAGACTTCATAAGATCATTACATGTGTTTGAAATTATATTTTTCGTTGCTTCTTTTTCCCCAGAAATCGGACTTTTTCATACAACTGTAGTACTGTAGGTTATTGGCAAATTTTTTGATTCTCGCGTGAAGCCCGTTTTAAAGAAGCGTTTCCTTTTTTCTTCCTCTATCTTGCAGCGATCGGCCTTCAATAATTATCTAGTTTTGGATTTAGCATAGTCAGCATAAGGTTTTCGTAATCTTAGCGAAAGACATTTTAACATTAATAAAAAAAATTCAAAATTTCTTCTATAGCGAAAACCGAAACCTATGAAATGAAATTGCAGGAGCAATGCAGTTAAGACGTTCGTGATAGTTTAAAAAAACAAAGCAAGCTAAAGTCCATCGTCTACATACGAGTGTATAATATATCACTTAGTCTTTGAACTATGCTTAGTTGAACAGAGTAAATAAACACTAGGAATCTTATCATCGAGATTTTTTATGCCGGAACAGTTTCGTCTTGTTTGCACTAATTTTTAATATCGCGACTTTCGGAACATTTACGATCCATTTCTGTGGCGAAAAGGCACTAGTAGATCGTTGTGTAACAAAAAAAAAATATGTAACCAATGTGACTTCTTGAGCTTATTAAAATGGAAACATTACAAATATGAACTTTTTGATGTTTGTGTTCCCTTTAATTAAAATTTTCTTCAAACAAATCATTCCATTATTATTATTATTATTTATTTATTTTTTTTTTTTTTGGTTTTCTTTTTACTCTAAGAATTTATTTCATTAGTTAAAAAAATTATGATAATAATACTTTGTTAATTACACTAAAGAGTTATTGTAAAATTTTTATTTTCACTTTTTACATATATATTGCATTTATGGCAAAGGGAATTTTTGCTTGTTTTACATTGAAACTAAGAACTTAAGCACTTAACTTTTTCGTATGGATTACGTTTCCGCTACGAGCAATCTTTTAATGCAAAACATGCAAAAAAAAAAAAAAAAAAAAAAAAAAAACAACAAACCATTTCTTTTATTTTTTTTTAATGATTTCGGAGTTAAGATTCGAAATTTGTTGAATCAATAAGTCGAGAAGAGGAGAAGAAAAAAAATTGAAAAATTATCATTAATTTTCATAAATCACCACATATTGCGAAACGTAAAGGTAATAAAAAATGAACACCCACAGCATTAGAAAGAGAGTTAATAACTTTACACCGTAACAATAACGAAGTGAAAAAAGTACAGCCATCTTAGACGTGGGCTGAACTTAGGATGTGAAACCTGTGTAAAAATTTTTTGGTAAATCAACGTTTATTAAACAAAAAGACCGAAAATGACAAAAAAAAAAAAAAAAAAAAAAACAAAACCGACCCAAAAAGCCATTGTTATAATAGCTTTGCAGAACAAACTCCACCCTGCTTGTGATGAATCATCACAGGTATTACGACAACGTACAGTAACAATATCTTAGTTTGTTGGTATACTAGAATGCTGGAAACCGTTGCGGAGTGTCTTTGCCGGCTTAGAGAAATCTCTAGTATATAGCTCCGCCCTGTACGCTATAAACAATGAAAAAAAATTTTTCAAGCTGTAATAATTTGCTAGATCAAGAGAGACAAAGACAGAAAAGATTGTAAATGGTAAGGCAAGCCAAATGAAATCACTTAACTTTGAAAACAATTTGGAAAACTCCGCCTTCTGGTCTATATGTAGCCTGAAAAAAAAAAAAGAATTTTATATATATACATATATATATATATATATATATATATTATTTCTTATATATATATATATATACGTATATATATATAATAATAAATAGAAATAAAAATCTACATCACATTTTTATATGAACATTAAAGGGAGAAAGGATAAGTATTATTAAGCTAAATATATAGGGGAAAACCACCCTGTTTTTGCGTCAAGTTAAGCCATATAGATACATACATATAAATTGTTATTTATATGTATGTTTAAAGATTTGGCGCCAAAAAGCTATATAACTCATATAATTCTTTAAGCTAAAAGAGAGCGACAAAAAAGGTCTGACATTACTTTAGCTTGTTACAGTAACTAAAAATCAACTGTACTTTGTGTCTGTCCGCCGGCATAATACAGCAGCAACAAGGTGTAATGCGTTATGAACTCACCCTAGTGTGTTGTGCCACTCAGCACATTATAAGGTAATAAAGGTCTCTTTTTGTATATATACATATATATAAATATATATAAACATTTACGCTTTGCACGTTCACTAAAACGTGTAAAAAGGAAACATGGAGATTTTCCCAAAATGCCAAAGGAAAATATGTCAACAAAATTACAAAAACAAACGTCGGCAGAGAACGTTTGCCATGTAAATGAGTGCTTTGCATTCATGCACTTACTTACGTACGATACACGACAGATAGATAGATAGATAGATAGATAGATATACGCTCACCAAATTACATCACTGCTCTGCGTCAGCTTAGAGCAGTAGTAAACATAACATTTAGTGAACTAGTGACGAAAATGTATTTTATTTTATCCCTCTCTTTTGCTTTCTCTCTTTCTCTTTCGTTCTCTTTGCTGCCAATATTACATCTGGTTCTGTTTTATGCTATTTATTACTTACACTCAACAACGATTTCTTCTTTTTTTTGTTTTTTATATGTGTTATGCGTAACAAATATTTTTAGCGGGTTCTTATACTCGGTCTGAGAGAATAACAGCACAGAATATTTAGTAAGTAGATATACGTCGCGAGAGTCACATATAAAAATCGTTTTACTTTTCAAAATAAATCAGTTTATTATAGGCAAGCAAATGCGAAGGTTGTGTTATTCCAAGTTCTGAGTATTATTTCATTTTATAAGAGAGAATTCGAAAATTACGAAAATATCTTCAAAAAAAAAAAAATAAATAAATAAAATAAAAATAAATAAATAAAATAAAATAAAAAATAGTCTTCACTTAGTCATCATTGAAAACAATCAGATACACGAACAGTTTATGTGTGAATGCTAAAAAAGATATTTTTAATAAAAGCAGAAGAACAGAAGAATTATTGTGAAATTCGATAGAAATAAATAAAAAAATAAAAGTAAAACATACAAACAAAAATTCATAACAATGGCTGTCGCTTTCTATATACCAGATCAAGCCGTTTTATTGCGTAAAGCTCAACTACAGGAGAAACAAATTTTGGCTAAACGCGAGGCTCAATGGCGTTATATTGTCTCGGTCATTTATAATGTATTACGTCAGTACTTAGACACGGTGCCCAATTATTTAAAGCCTAAAAAATAAATTCCATTCAAAATCATCAAAAATCGAAACCAAAAGCCGCCATCATCAACATGCCAACGTACAAATACAAACTAATACCAATATTTACTACTATTAGTACTACTACAACTACTGCTACTACTACTACTACTACTACTACTACTACCACTACTACTACTACAACTACAACTACTACGCAGATACTATGAAAGCATTTACCGTCGGGACTCCTTCATTACGTTTCACTCAACAGCGTCGCTTTTTCATTTTCGAAAATAATTAATTATCTCCTTTAAGTTTTACTTGATTTCTTTTTTAAATTTATGTTTAAAAATTTCCAAAAAAAAAAAAAGAAAAAGAAAAAATACTACAATCGATGTTTTGCATAATTCTTTTCTCAAACCTCATCAAGGCAATTGTGATAATATTTTGTTTCTAAATAAATGCATTATTATTTTAATTACGAATGAAGCAGAATTCTGTAAAATTAAAAGGCATAACGACATACATACCTGTTACCGTGTGAGATCTGCTTTAATTTGAGGTAAGATGAGTCGAGGTGAGATATTTAAAAAGAAATTTTTTTTTTTTTTTCTTTAACTTAAAAGTGCATCGACGAAAAGATGATTTTTTTTTTTTTTTTGGTAAGCGGACTCTCAAATGACATGGTAACACTTTATCTATTTTCGCTTCCGAAATTTAAAGTGTTTAAATTTAAAGTAAAAAAATTGATGCGGTTATGCCTTTTACTCACAGAAAAGAATTCATTTTGCAAAAAATTTTGATTTTATTTTTCATATAAAATTCAAAATGTATTTAATAATAAGTATTATCGCTGCTAGTTTTTAATAAGTTTATTTAGTTTTAAGTTTTTTTTTTTTTTTTATCTTAGTGCAACAGTCAGTCAGATTATGTTTGTAAGATCAAAAATTGTATCAATTTTTGGTTCAATAAATACAATATAAAAAAATAAAATTTAGAAAAGAAAAAATTGTTTTTAATTTTACTCTAAGACTTGGTTCATTCAATCTACGCATAGCACATAACTTCATCTTCTTTTCTTTAATTCGTGATAGTTAGTCGCGTTCCATTAAGAAAAGAAAAAAAATTGATGAAAATTTTTTAAAAAGTCCAAAGTATATATAGAAGTAAGAATGACGTATAGATTTTTTATTATTTACGAAATTCCAAACTTTCTTTTAAAATGCTTTCGATTTTATTTTTTTTTTTTTTACAAATCCTGCTTAAATTTCATCTTAAGCAATATGATTGGGGCAGTAATTGCTATCCTCATATAATTGCATATCGTGTTAATTAATGGGCTCAAGTTAAGCCAACGCGTAGTACTCGTAGAGAAAAAACTTCTTAGGGAATTATTTCCATCGTTCGTTTGGTTATATGGTTAAAAATTAATAACACGGCTTTCTATTGCGTCAATTAAAAGCCGAAATCGTAAAGTGTGTTTTATTTTATTTATTTATTTATTATTTTAAATTTTTTGATGCCAACTTAACAATAGCAAATAAATATGGCTTCTTACGCTGATAAATGATTTTCATTCGATGGTTTTTTAAACAACTGCTTGAGGTAGATAACAAAGAGTTTGTTTGCATTATTCAGGAACGCTTACGCAAGAAAATGTGGTAAATATGTAAGTACACGTATTGTAAGTGAAAATAAAATTTTCTTTAGGCCATCAATGATTTCACTAACACTTGAGATCGTACGTTTTTGAGAATGATGTAAAAATTGATTCTTTATGCTATCGGCTGTGACGTTGGCAAAAAATTTTAAACGAAGTTTTTGCTCAACATTTTTATGCGAATAAAAAGTGAAAAATTGCTTTTACAATGATTCATACAAAAGGAAAAATCAGAACACATTACAATAAGAGTAGAAATGACTATTTTCGTAAGTGTAGAAGAAAACATCGAGTTGCAAGAATTAATGCTTACGAAAATGCTTATTGGGTAGCGCTATAAGACGAGGGAGAGAGAGAAAGAGAGCAATGTCTATATTAAGGATTGAAGAAGAAAACCTTTACAAGATTTTGAAGAGTTTAATTGAATTTTCCCGGAACTTTCTGATCTAATTTAGATTTGAAAAAATTTCACAAGCTGCAAATAGTTGTGACTCAATTTCTAAGATCTTCATCTAGAGATAGACATGTTCTCAACGGCTTCGAAAAGAATGGGTAAAATATTTTCCTGGCGAACAAGGCCGCAATGTTTGGATTCGGTAGATTTTCGACCCGACACGAGATAGCTTCACTATGGCACACTGATGCCCGGAAAAATCATGTTCAAAATATAACGAGAGAGATAAGTTAATGCAACCTTTGCTGAAGTCAATAATTATCTATCTGAGTCCTTTGCTAATCTCGTTAACCTTAGCGGCCAACAGGTTTTAACATGATCGAAGTTCCCTGGATTTATATAGTGTATCTGAAAGGAACGAAGAAAAGGATAAAATTTTTAATTGCCTTATTGTTTTTTCGCAAGGAATGGACCTGCCACCGGTTAGATTGCAGCAGGGCTTTTTGTATAATAACTACAGTGACTACAGTTTTCATTTTCCAGAAATTTTTGTAATAAAAAATCTTTCCTCTTGAAAAATTTAACTGGCCAAGTCGATACTATCGATCCATACTTGTTGCGTTTCATTGTTCCATTTTGAACGGGTAACAAAACAAAAAACGGTCATTGTAAGCAAGGCCAAAACCGAGTTATCTAAAGGAAGTGTAAGTAATTGCTAAGCTGATTTCAAATCGCTGCCAGAAGTGGAGTTATCGAAGCCTTATGAAGGGCTTACTTAAACACGGAGAGATAATCTATCATATTAACATAGAAAAGTTTTCCTTTTTTATTGAAATGATCAAATACCAGTGAGGTTATTGGAAAATGCATAGCAGTAATCGATATATGACAGTTAACGTGCATGGATTACATGATATGTTATCCAGGCCATGGATTACATGATATGTTATCCAGGCTGGCAGAATGAAATACTCTTTGTTTTTATAACTGTCTGATAGGTGTGGTTACTGAATAACGGATCAAGACTTTATGTAAACTTAATTGTGACGCATGGAAGCATGAACAAAAAGGCGTTCGATTTACCTTACTTTGCATTCTTAGTTCATCACTTAGTTCCATATACTTACTAACTATGCTTACTAACGATTATCAAAAGTCTTCTTCATGTTTCGCGCACAAAAATGTTAAAAACTTTGTTAAACTAAGATGCGTGCAACTCATTCATTTTTATAATATACAACCGTAGTACGAAATAGACAGTGTACGTGCAATATGATAAATGCAAAGAACAGTAAGATTGCGTCAGGATTTGGGTTGAGACAACATGTAAACAATATATTGAGCTAACAAACAAAATGACAAATTTAGTATACATTCAACTAGTAGTGATGCGCAGAAAAGTAATTAAAAGTTGTCTACATAACGTGTCCCTCCTTACTATTAGTTTTTGAAACGTTTGTTGACTTTGGTTGTTCATCCAGCGCAATCACTTATGTGTTTCATGAATATTAGAAAAAAAAAAAAAAAGGACGTTCCACTCTAAGCAAATTCAGGGACAATTCATATTAAATCACTATGTTGTCATAGAGTTGCAAACGTTTACATACCATGGCAGAAAATAAAATCAACAGGTAGTCGGCTGCCTTGTCCAATAACGGCAGTAACAAGTGAACAAATTTGCATAGCAAAGGAATTTTATTGAAAAATTGCAACTAAACATCGAAACACAAGAATTTTTCTTTTTTATTTTAATTCGTCCCATTTCTTTCAGAACTCTCGCCACTACATATGACCATAACAAAACCTATCAAGCATGTCATTTAGTGAAAAAAGTTCATATCTAAGCTATGCGAAACTTTACTATAAGGTATACACACAAGGGACACTTTATTCGCTTGTGGATGTCGAAATGTGATAACAACCGTACTTTGATTTGTATTTATGTTTATATTACAAAATTTATAGGGGCGCAATTAATCTATTTTTTGGTCTTTTCAAAATTTTTGGATGAAAATTTTCTTTTCTACAAAAATTTATTTGCAGTTTACCTCTGTGCTATTTTATTACTTTCGGGCTTTCGACTTATTAAACTCACAGCTTGTATTATAGATTCTATTATTTGAACTACTAATGGCACTGCTTTCAAAATACAGTCCAACCTGTTTTTGTGCGGTAGATAGGGACCGCAGAAAAAGAATCGCACAAAAAAAAATATTCAAAAACTTCATAAATAGCTATAAGAAATAATTGTTCACAGCATATTAAAGAAACCGGATAAAAAAAGTCGTACTTAGAAAATATGTCAAAGCTTTACGAAATAGCAAGAAAGTTCTTTCCAAACAACATAAATAATTAAATTACACATTGAAACATTTAAAAAAATTTTAATTTCTAATTTTAAACAAGGAGAAATTTTCAAAATGTACATAATTCAATACTACTCGTCGTAGCTCAAAACGCGCATATTTTTGCGATGAACTGGTTCGTAATCGCTTTCGTCACTTGAAGATACTACAGTTGATTTATTTTTTGTTAACATGTAGTCGGTGATAAGTTTTTGCGACGACGGTCGTTTGGTCAGCTGTTTGTAAACGTCGCGATAGCCAGATATACACAATGGAAGCTCTTTTTGGAATTTCAAACTTCTTTGAGAATTGTTATCTATTTTAAGAAAATGCTTTTCCATATTGCTGCAAAGCTGGATCCCTGCATATATTTTAGCCGCTGTAATAGATTCCGGTTCCTCTTATCCGTCTTCATGATCTGTTAAGTTATTGATAATCTCACTATCATTTACGGTTTCGTCCTCAATCATTTCAATAAGATCATTTTCGCTGAAAGAGTCAAAACCTTCTCCGCAGATTTGATGTGCTAGCTCAATGATGTCTGATGATAAAGTGGACCTGTTGTCGGTTACATTTCTATTAATGATACATTCAGGCCAGACCGCTTTCCAGCACGTATTTAAAGTGTGTTGTTTTATTTGAGTAATTGCTGCAGTGGCGTAGTTTATGCAGTCTAAAATCGAAAACTTTTTCCATACTTCAGTCAGGCTTATTCCATCGTTTTCTAGTTTTTTCAAAATGTATCTGAAAGTTATTTTCACATAGTGT